GTTTAATGTGGTATTCTGCCAGAGTCAAATCCAGCTGTAGTTAATTTTATTTTTTTTCTAAATTTTTTTTGTGCAAATTTCAGCTTTTTAAGCTAAATATTTCAGCTTTATATTTGTATCATAAATTTAAACTTTTTGTAATTATTTTCTTGTTTTTCTGCTAATGTGAGCTTTTTAATTGTTTTTTACTCTCTGTCTGCTAAATTAAACTTGTTTCTGTTATTTTAGCAACATTTTTTACACATTTTTCTTTACTGATGTTTCTTTTTTCTTGTTTTTAACAAATGTCATCAGTTCAAACTGAAGTCACGTGAATAATTGTGTTATTAAACATTCAGGAATATTTCAGTAATAAACATTATCACAGGAAATGTCAAACTGTCTAATTTATGACGTCATCCAGTTTGGTTAAACTTTGTGTAGCGTACACTGTGCTGATGACAACAGTTGTGTAGTTTTTCTGCAGCCTGTACTTTAACCTGCACAGTAAAGGTTGTGTTGTGACACAATCAGATAATGTTGTGTGTCTGACTGAAACTATGTGTTGTTGTCTGGTTCAGACCAGTTGATCAGAGGGACTGACCCAGTCTGACCAGTCTGGGCTGACTGGGCTCAGCAGTGGGTGTAAGCTGCTTACTGAAGAACAGCAGTTTGCAGTCAGAGAACAGAGAAACACTAAAGTTTGTGTTAATAAGTTCTCACGGTGCAGACATCCGTCAGGTTCTAACTGGGAACATCTCCTACACTGTCTGGTTGAACAGGAATGAACTGGTTTACCTGGAGAAGCTCAGCACACTCCAAACGGTCCACAGCGACACTCCGGTTCTGGTCTGGTTCCGGTTCTGGCTCTGGTTCTTCTGGTCGAACGGACAGAACGCCGCTTGTCCTCAGAAGCAAAGCATGATGGGAGATGTAGTGTTTTTATTTCAAGGCTCCGCCCACTGGGACCAGCGCCATAAAACTCATCAAACTGGTTTCTGTGTGGTTTTCTGTCCTGAACCAAATGTTACATTTATTTATTTACAGTTACTAACTTTAACATAACTCCATCAGGGCAGGACTCAGCTTATGG